CAGCTCTCCACAGTATCACACCAAGCTATAAACTTATCAGTGAACTGCATCACAGGTACCATGACTTCATGATTCAATCACCTCCAAAAAGCCCCACTTCTGAGAGTAGGAGACTTTGAGGGACGTTCAGGTATAAATTGTAACTTGTGCATGAGCGTGCATGTGTATGTGCATATGCGCACACACACACAAAGATGATAGTATCTATTCAACCAAGCCTCATAGTATATGCCTATAAACCTAGAACTCTGGAAGGCTGAAACAGGATGACTACAAGTTAAGGACAGCCTAGGGCAATTTAGCAAGACTCTGCCTTAAAATTTTAAAAATTAAAAAATTTTAAAAGGGCTGGGGACATAACTCAGTATGAAGGCCCTGAGTACAGTCCCCAGTATTGCTAAAAAACCGAAATAATAATAGTATCTATTTTGTAGGCTTGATCTGAAGATTAATACAACTAAAGTTCTTAGAAGAAGTCCTGGAATCTGGCACATTTTCAAAAACTGTTAGCTGTTATTATTCTTGCCTTTGTTCACTTTTATCACAAATCATTTCCCCAACTTTATATGCCTCCCAAGTTGGGCCCCCGCCTCTTCTCTTGAGAGTGCCAAATTGCAATATTTTAATAGCTATCTTACTAATTTTAATTTGGGGTTCTTATCCATTTTGAACCCCAAATTCTTCCAACTTGAATTCTGTGACAAGGTCTTTTGGCTGTCCTGCTTTTGAAAAGCCTGGTTAGTAACAATTCTAAGACATCTCCTACCTGCTGCGGAAACACAGCAATTCCTGCTTGCTATTTCCATTCTACTACAAAAGCACTAAGTGATCTTTCTGACTCATGGTTTGAACAACCATTTCTGGGCAGCTAACCTCAAAGGTCTTGAGCTCTGACCTCCTCCAGCTTTAGGTACAGTATTTATTTAAATGTCTGCTAGACTGGATGCCAAATGTCCAACCCTGCACACTCTGGACATGCTCCTCCTTCCTGTGAATTCTGATCATGCAGGCAGAACTGGCCACCAACATCCAATCACTGAGTTTAGAAGAACTCTAAACTGCCAAGAAACTCTCATACTTACTTTAGCTGCCCTAGTTTGGCCCTATTGGCAGTTCTTATCTGGAATAAAAAATGGCACAGAAAATCCTCCTTGCTAACTTTACTTTTACTTTCATTCTAAAACAAACTAGAACTGTACGTAGGTGTCTGAACTTAACAAATTTGCCTGTTTCCATGCTTTTGTTATACTGTCTCCTCAGCCTGGATGTGCCTCAATTTTTACTATACTGATTTTTTTTTTTTTTTACTATATTGGATTTTTCGAGTAGCTATCAAGATACCATACCCATCAGGAAAAACCTTAGCTGCTCAGGATGAGTTCAGTGCCCTTCCTCTACACTGCAACAGCACCACCACCAACACAGCATTACACTTAAACAAATTCACTTTTCTTTAAAAAAGAAAAAAAAATTATGTATTTTGCACAGGGTCATACTACACAGCTCAGATTTGTAGTGATCCTCCTGTTTTTAGCTGCCCCAGCACTGGGATTACAGGCATGCTCCACCACGCCAAGTCTCAGCGGCTGGCTCAGCACACCTGGCACCTGGCACTTGCCTAAGCAGGCTCTTAGTCCACTGAGCTACCTTGCCAGCCCTACACTCTTAACAAGGACAGTGCTTTTACTTGTTTTTGTAGCTTCAGGGCCTACTAAAATATTTTCATATGAAACAATGTTCAGTGTCACTGGTCATTCTAGAGGTGTAAATTAAAACAACACTGAGATTCCATCTCACCCTGGAAAGAATGACTATCATCAAGAAATCAATTAGCAAATTCTGGAGGGGCTGTGGGGAAAAAAGACGCCTTCTTCACTGCCAGTGGGAATGCAGACTGATGCAACCACTGTGGAAATCAGTGTGGAGATTCCTCAAAAAACTAGGATTGGAGGTCCTATCTGACCCAGCTATTCCTTTACTGGGTATCTTCCCAGAAGTAGAAACATTGTACTACAGTGATATATGTGCACCCCTGCTTTTTTTTTTTTTTTTTTTTTTTTTGGCAGAACCGGGGATTGAACTCAGGTCCTTGCCCTTGCCAGGGAAGCGCTTATTCCACTGAGCCATCTCCCTGGCCCTGCACCCCTGCTTATAACAGCACAATTTATAGTAGCTAGGTTGTGGAAACAACCTCAGTACTTAAAAGAGGAATGGGTAAAAAAAAAAAATGTAGCCTTTTTATACAATGGAGTGCTACTCAGCCATAAAGAAGGATAAACTGGAGATAAGATGTAAGTCTTAAGATATAAGATAAGACATAAGTTTCTTCTTGGGAAAAAACTGTTCAAAAGGAAAGAGAAACTGTCATGGGGGAAAAACAAGCAAAAGAATTAAAAAATATATTAAAGATAGTTAAGATAGTTATGCTAATTTTTTAGTTCATTAAAAAGGCTTGTGCTAATACTGTTTGGACTATTAAATGCTGATACCTTGTACTCTGAGTAATTTAAAGATAACATTACACAATGTATTAACCATTGTTACCCTATTTTTTAAAAAATTTTTTCTCTTCAAAATCCTATTTCCTAAGGTCACAATGCTATCCAACAACATTAAGGGACTGTCACATGATAAAGCACATATATCTTTAAATTTATCTTATTATTATTGGTAACTGAGGATTGAACTTGGGACAGTCAGGCACTTAAACTGCTGAGCTATATCCCCAGGCCTTACAACACACACATCTTTACACTCATCCTCCATAACCATAACAAGCTACCTAGAAGAGCTTCAGGGACCAGGGAGATGGCTCAATAGAGTAAGTGCTTCCCTGGCAAGCACAAGGGCCTGAGTTCAATCCCCAGTTCCACAAAAAAGAAAAAAAAAGAAAGAAAGAAAGAAAGAAAAAATGAAAAAGAAGAGCTTTATCTTGCGCAACACTTCCTTATATTCATCCTTGATTTTTACTATTTTCCAAATTGGCCTTTTGACTGCTACCTACCCAAAATATTATAACCCATGAAAATGGTGGTCTTTAAAATTAGTACTTACTTAGCACTCACTAGCAATTAATATCACACTATACATATGCTATTAAAGCACTGTCATGGATACCTAAATGTGGTGGTCACAAATAACTTGCAGGTCATCTGCTCAACAGATGAGCAGCACAGTACTTTTGCTGAGCTTACAAAAGCTATCAAAATGGAAGAAAATTGTTACAGCATCGTATTCTGCTTTATTCATGCTTTTCTCCAGCCCAGCTTTCTTTCACCTTTAATAGTTTGAAGTACATTAGGAATAAGGAACCTGGTGTGCTGGCGAATGCCTATAATTCCAGCACTTGGGATGGTGAGGCGGGATCCCTCTGGGTGAGGCCAGCCTGGGCTACACCGTGAGTCCAAGGCCAACCTGGAGGTACATACTGAGATCTTGTCTCAAAAAAGAAAAAAAGGAATGAGGAGGGATGCATTAACTACCACTAACAGAACACTCCTTTCCTAGAATCTACTCTTCTTCTGTCCATCAAAACTCTATCCTAATGTTCTAATTAGCTAGAATTCCAATTAAAAAAAAACAAAAAACAAAAAAACACTCCAGCAATACATTCAGGGTTTCCTATGACGTTTTGATCTCCCACAGTCATCACTTCCAAGTGGTCTTATCCAGCTTGGAAGAGCACAGACGGGCACTAACAGCTGACATGAACAGGTCTGAGTTAAGAAAGGGAAAAACCCTGATTCATTCACCTCCAAGCACTCTGAAGGTAATGATTCAAAGATAGAAAAGACCAAATAGAATATATTCAAAAACTTCAAAATCGTTTGTGAAAATAATCCAGCATGCAAGTATTCCCATTAAGAGACTTGTGCTATGATAACTGACCAAACTACAAAATTCTAAGGTCAGTTCAAATAATGTTAAAATAGACAACATCTATGCAACTTTGTGTTTTCTCTAGCAGAATACAGGCTAATTGAGGACAAGGAAAGTAGCATCTGTGTATCCCACATGGTTAGCATGGTTCCTGAGATAAACATGTGAATGAGGGGTTAAGAGGAAATTTATATTTTTAAAAATAGTCTGTATAACACACAGTTTTGAGGTGTTAGGGTATAGGGATAGGAAAAAATAATTAAGACAACCCTTTCGTTTTACTACACTTTTGGGAGCTATGGAATCTAAAACTGGATAAAACTCAATTTCATTACCAAAGTCCCAAAACCTTACCTGAGCATCAAATAGCAACTGTAAGATCTTTATCTAAACATTCAGAAAAACAAATTTTACAAGACCCCATTTGCATCTATCCAACATATTTCAAATCTTCATTTCTTCTACTGGATCTTTAAATCTTCTATGAATTAAAACCAAGCCTCTGAACAGAAAAAAAGCTTTGAGCTAAAATTCCTGAAGGGTACTTAAAATCTAAAAGGGACACACATATAACAAAATTTTAAGGAGCTGGGGAGATAGCTCAGTGGTCTAGGAGCCTGCCTCCCAAGAGCAAGGAGCAGGGTTTGATCCCCGGTACAGCATGCTGTACCAGTCCCAGTACCATGCCCGCCCCTGAAACTGGGCATGGTGACCCACACCTGTAACCCCAGAGCTGGGGAGGCCAAGACAGGAGGATCATGATGAGTCTGAATTGTGTAGTGAGCTCCTGTACCAAATAAACAAATAAAGAAAAGATTTAAAAACAAAAAAGTTTGAAAATTTTTATTTGTTTATTTTGTGGGATTAGGGATTGAACCCAAGACCTTCCCACTGAACTATCTCCTTTGCTCTTTACTTTTTGAGACAGGTTTTCACTATGTCATGCTGGCCTTATACTTACAATACCCATCTTGGACCCCTATGGTGCTGGGATTACAATCATGGTTTTTCTGGAGGTGTTGGATAAATATCAATATGCTCTATCTGTAAAACAGATAAGACAGCATCTGGAAAAGCATGCTGCACTTGCAGCCAACATGGATGATAATTAAACTAAGACATTTTTCTTATTATCTTTATTCAAGTATTTCACAGCAGTTATATTACAAATTACAGTAAATGTTCCAGAATTCAAAAATTAAATAATTTACTTCAAACTAACGTAAAATGAAGTCAAATGTAAAACATCAATTTAACACAATTCTAAATTAAACTACAAACCCAAATAGACCATAGTTGATGAAGTCTACTTAATCTACAAAGTAGACATACATGACTGAAACCAAACAAGACTTCTGAAGTCTAAGTAACCAAATGTACAAAATACAAAAGATGCAGATACAAGCCCAAATTCAAGCTTACAATATGATTACAAATAATTATAGTAACAATGGCATTCAGCTACGGGACCTGACACTGAAGATACCTACTGGATAGCACCATAGCTGAACCAACTTAATCAAAAAAGGGAAGAAATTACCACCCCATTCCCTAAAAATAAAATCCAGTAAACCTATACATTGGCATATGAGAAAAATCAAGTTATGAAAGGATGTTTTAAAAATTAATCACAGGTAAGCTTCAAGCTCAAAAACACAATTAACTCCACAGCCATCAGTTTCAACCCTAATATGGTTCCATCACCTTCAGAAAGCTCCCAGGGTCCCCACAGCTGAGCATGAACTGTTGCTGGGCTGTGCTGTGATACATACATCATTGATCTGAGAGCACAGTTTTACACAGGAGCTTATCATTTATAATGGTCACAATAAGAAATAAGAACAGAGGTCAATTTGTACATACTTTTGCCAATGCTATACAGAAAAATTAAGAATTTACATAAAGGTAAACAAAATTGAGTCCACTTAGATAATTTCACAAGCTGTTTTAAAATATAGAACCACCAGATATCTGTAGAATAAGCAAAATTGGTATAGTATGTTTCTTTTGGGGGAAGGCTGGAAAAGTTGCTACAATTTTAGCTCCTTTTTCCCTCCTTGGCATGAGATTGACTTTCTCTTAAGACCTAAACTGTTTAAAGTGGCAGTTTCTACATTGATGTTGCCTCTGATTTCTACATCTCCATTAAAGATAAACAAAAACAGAAACATGATCTTTTGGAAGCATCTTAATGCTGAACATAAACAAATTACCCTTCTCAAACTCACTGATGGCTAAAATCTTAATTAACTTGTACAAATTCAGTAATCTACTAAGAAATGTACTTTTTCCTTTCACAAGTGCTGCTGTTACTTGAACAGAATGCCTCTGAATTAGAGTAACTGGAATAAATATTTAAAAAAAAAAATAGTGCAGCAAGAACCTGAGACTTGCAAAAAACCCTTTCACCAGAAACTTGCTACAAAAAATCTGCTACATCGTATTTCATCAAATCTTTAAATTCTGTAACAATTTCCATCAAAATACAAAATGCTAATGTATTAGACAGTAAAATAGTTGGAACAGGTATGATGGTAATAAATACTAAAGAAAGCACAAAAATCTTCCCAATAATCAAATTAGAGGCTTCAAATGACCTCCCCTTTAAAATGATTCATCGTTAGTCACACTTGCCCACCTTAAAAATACAGTGTGTCCACATGGGTGCCATTTTGAATTATATGGCTAACTGAATAGTATGAAAAATTCATAGACTAGGCATAAAGAAAATAAGTGGCATTTCAAAAAATTAAGCTACAATGAGAAGGTGGTAAATGTAAATGCAAAGAAGCACTTGGGATTACTGCAGTAGCCTAGGCCAGAGTGTACTTTCTGCACACTATAAACAGCCAGAGACAAGGAGACAAGTACCTTAGCTTCAGCATGTAAACGGTGGCAAAGTGATTACAGGACACTGTAAACACTGTTGGTAACTAAAACACAAAAAGCTGAGGTAGCTCAGTATCTCTGCAGTAGTCCAAGACCATGTGCCTTAATTAAAACCCAAACTACATGTGTTGCATATATTGGAAAGACACACCTGCAGCTAACGGCTATAATAAATGAAGATAGCAAGCCAACTTGTTGGCAAAATTTTCTACATTTTGTTTAAAAATTATCTGATACAAAATGTCCTTGCATTCCCTTTGCCTCTTTGCAACTGCCTAGACTATGTCTCCAATTTGTAGAAAGTTTTTGTAAAACTAGTAACCCATAATTAATTTCAGGTAAATACATTTCACAGAAATCACTCAACAAGATCCAAAATGGGTTCCAATCAAAATGAAGAGTTGTGAAGCTAAGTTTATGGGAAGGGATTTAAACATTAATACTGTTATTCAAGGACCATACCAGAGCTCATTTGCAATTATACAGAAAATGAACTTTATGGAGATTCTGACGAATTCCTCTCTTTTCTGTCCTTTTGGCAAGTCCTGGCTTTAAAACAAAACAATTTACTAAACATGAAAATAATTTTTCTCTGGGAACTCAAACATGAATAATTATTAAATTGTCTCTGACAGAAGAATGGCCACTGTTTATTTTCTGGTCATCATTTGTCAGCAATAAAAAAGTATGTAGGGTTTTTTTTTTTGTGGACTGTGTATTATTTGTTGTTATTTTATTGTTTCTTACAAAGAAACAAAAAAATTATTTTAGCATCTTACAGTGGTTTACAGAGTGTCTTGATTAAGCTCTGAGAACAAGACAGGCATTTAATACCAAAACACTGGTTGTCTCTTAATGACACAGTATCAAAACTTATTTTCAAGGTTGTGATCAAAGAAAATGTTCTAATTTATTTGCTACAAATGAGCCCATTTAGCCTTATCTTTCTCAAATGAATAAAAAGGCACATTAAAGGCAGTTCTAAAGAGCCTAATCTAATTTCATCCGGTTTCTTTAGTTTCCCACCAGAACATAACACAGCCAACTGTAAAACAGGTTTCAGTCCATTACCAGAGAGAGGAATATGATGAAAGGAATAGAAGAGGGGGAAAAAAAAAAAAAGACAAAAAACAAGTAAGTTGCCCACTGTTTAAACAATTCGACACAGTTAGAACTGCCCCATCCAGTTTCCTCCTGTTTGCTGCTCTGCTCCCTAAAGAGAATCTCAAAGAAAGAGAGTGCACAAAAAGAGGAGCAGAGGCAAAAGCAGTTTCTGTAGCACCAAAATCTCCAAGCTGTGGGGTTGTATTTTTTACTTGTGGAAAATACAACATGTTTCTGAAGTTCTGTTTGGTTCTTGTAGGCTGGTTGGTTTCAGGTACCTGAGACAATAGCACCAAATTCAACAGAGAAAACAATGAGTGAGAGAGCACTTTACACCAAGGCTCTGCACATAATTGGTGCAATTTGAAATTGAATGGCTCAGAAGACTGCTCTGTCAGGAGCAGATTGAAGAGGATAAACCACTCATCTTCAAAGTTCAGAGGAATGTCTCAAACATATGAACTGTTCTTTCCATCTCCTGTAAGAAAAAGACATATATATTATCTACTAAGGAAGAGATGAAGGTATTGCTCACTATGGAAGAATTCACATAAAAATTCTTAGAAAAATAATTTGAGATACATGTTCAAATTCGGGTATTTTCCTGATCATAGTACTAGAGCTACTATGTAACATCACATGCCCTAGACAACTCCACTTGCCTCCTACTTCATTTTTAGGCAAATGGCAATGGCAAAGATACTAACACTCAATAAGTGGTTTACATCAGTAATACAAGAATGAGGTATGAGTAATACAAGGATGAAGACAGCAGAACACTCAGTGAGTAATTTATGTCAGACATTATACTAAGAAATGTACAAATTTATAAATACAGTAGACACATAAGATAGTTAGACAGAAATATATATGATTTAACTTAATCCACAATAATGTTGAAGGTAAAAGGTATAATTCTGGGTCCCATCATACAGTTCAAAATAACTGCCACAATGTGGATAAACGATCTGACAGCTAAAAAGCGGCAGAGTCCAAATTTGAATACAAGCAGCCACATTCCAGAGCATAACATTTGCTTACTCATTATATTCTAATTCCCAAAGCAAACTCAGTAATTCAGTGTGGCTTATGCCCAAGCGCAGACATGTTCCCATTTATATTTACTCTGACCACAGCTCAGGAGGATGAGGGGGCCAGAATGGGTGGCTGCCATCACCGCCCCACTAAAGCCACTCACTGCTTGTCCTATTAAACCCTTCCTCTCTAAACTCAGCCCCATACATTACAAAGGTTCCAAGTCCCATACCCAGAGATGTTTCAGTGCTAAGAGCATTCAATTTATTCAAGCTAATGAAACTGCAACCATGTGAACAAAGAGCAGTGCCCTGCATGCACCTTTGATTAAGGTGGGCAAATGTCAAATACATCTAAGACTCTTGGCTTTCTTTTCTTTCTTTAAACAGCTCTGACAAAATTTCATGTTACAACTCTGTAAAACATTATCATGCGATCAAAAAACCTTCTATATAACCTATCAAAATCATGCCTGCAAAATGCTTTATCATGTGCTGCTGTGTAGGGGGAAATCAGGTTGTAAACAAGAATATAATCCCAATTTTAAAATATATTCAGACATTTATACACATTATGTACATCTAGACACTTGTTATTGTCTGTGCATAGGTGTGTTTCTGCCACCCCCCAAAGCCTCCTGTAGTCATGGGGTGGCTTGGCCTCTGGAGCTCGATTCTTGATCCAATGCTGGGTTTGCAGGTGTGAGTGCTACACGCTAGCCATGGGGTGGGTAATTTGCATTACAATGCAAGGAGGGGAGAAAGGCTGGCTAGCTACCTACGCTGCTCCACTCCCTTTGCTCCTGCTCTTTGTCACCACCATGAAATGCTCTCTGCCAACCTTTTATGTGGCAGTGCCACTCTGCCTTGGAGCCAGCTGAGTATGGACTGAAACCTCCAGTAACTGTGAACTAAATAAACCTTTCCTTCCTCCATTTCGGGTGTCAAGTACTTGTCCCAGCAACAAGAGAAGAATAACTGAGACAACATTTAAAAAGCCTGGATGATATTCCACAATACTAACACCAACTATTGTCCTCTAGATGGTAGTATATGACTGATAACACACATACAACTCTCCCTTTCACCTCTCCAACTTAGTATAACTTCATAAAAACTGAAACTCATAATAGATTATAAAATAATTTTAAAGGCTCTCTTGCTTTGATATAAATCTAATTTATCATACATGAAAAGTTAAGTATACCCTCCACATATAAATCTTTAGTAACTTTAACATTAGAAATGTTCCTTGTGGGCTGGGGAGATGGCTCAGTGAAATACGCACTTCCCTGGCAAGCACAAGGGTATGAGTTCAATCCCCGGTTCCGCCAAAAAAGAAAAAAAAAAAAAAAAAAAGAAAAGAAATGTTCCTTGTGAATAGGAACTTTGCCTTTATCATGTTTTACATCCTCAAAATTCAAGAGAGTATCTGGCACATAAGTCCTCAATAGATACTTAGTAGCTAGACCATAAAAGAAATTAACAAGCAAATAGCCATTCAGTGGGTGGATCAGGGTTGTATCTGCTCATTTGACCTCAAAAAATGGAAGTATGACTTAGTGATAGAAATTAGGTGAAGAGGAATTCAAGTGCATTGACAAGAGAAAAAGCTTCTCTATGGTTCAGCATTGTCTAGAAAAAGAATATATCATCTCTAAAAGAAAAAAAAACAAGCATTTCATGTAGCTGTTTTACAGGACTAGATTTGACTACATGAGATGACTCTTTTAAGTTAAGACCATTTTTTGGTTTTTAGGGGTGCTGAGTACTGAATCCAGGCCCTTTGCTATCTCACCTCCTCTGTCTGTCCATCCGTCTATGAAACAGTCTCATCAAGTCACTAAACTGCCTTGCCTGGGTTCAAACTTGCAATCTTCCTGCCTTAGCCTCCTAGAGTGCATGTGCCTATTGTACCAAGGCTGGCCAATTCTTCTAAACTTAAATCTTCAAAACATTCTTTAGTTACTTGGTCAAAAATAGGTAGGAGGAAAAAAAAAATAGATAGGGTAGACTGGGCGTGGTGGCACACACCTATAATCCCAGCACTTGGGAGCTTGAAAACAGGAGAATCACTATGAGTCCGATCTACATCAGAGATCCTACACCCTGTACTAAATACAAAACAACAACAAAAATCCCTTACAAAAAATAGACAGGGGGTTGGGGAGATAGTTCAGGGGCATATGCACCTGTCTGTCAAGTACAAGGTCCTGAGTTCGATTCCCAGTACCCATCCCCCCAAATAGGTAAACCGGGTATGATAGCACATGCCTGTAATCCCAGCACTTGAGAGGCAGAGGCAGGAGCATCTCCACATGTTCAAGGCTAACATGGGCTACATAATGAATTCAAGGCCAACCTGAACTGTATAGTGAGACTGTCTCAAAACAAACAAGATAGACAAAAGTTTCTTTACATTAGGACAAGTAAAAGCACATACTGATGTAAGCACTTACCTCTACAAGTTGTGATTTGTCATAATCTTTACGATGACGGTAGATACACTGACTAAGAAGAGAATACAATCTCTCAAGCTGATCAACTGCCAAATTGTTGCTTTTATCTACCAACAAATCAAGCAATTTCTAGGAAAAATTAGAAGGAGAATGAAATGTAGGTTGATTTCACTTTTCAAACTAGAACAATTACATTTGCATGATTAGACAAATAAGCACCACAGTATGTAAAGTGACTACTGAGGTGGGAAGATTCTTGGACTTAGTTCTTACTAATCCTGTTCCCACACTTTAAACCCCTCAAAATACACGTAACTCTAGTAAGAGGCATATGACAATTACATCCCTACCTTAAATAAGGAGATTTCTAAAATAGTTTTACTTAATTGCCTACAACATTCAAATATCCTTTCATGCACTGAAATGTGAGGAATAGCTAAGCTTACCTTCAACCTCTCACGATCAACTATAAGAGGTGGCATAGGCTCAGATGGCTCCTCTGGAACCAGCTCCAAGCTTGTCATTTTTGCCTGCTCCAAAATTAATTTACGGCATTTCTTTACTTTAGAAGCACCTACAATTAAGGGCAAGGAAAAAAAAAAAAAAAAAACACTGCAGCAAATAAAAGTTAAGAAAAATCAGTTTTAAACAACTGAATTACTATATTTTACCCATCACAAATCTTTTGTGGTTCAAGACTAGCGTATTCTTTTTTTTTTTTTTTTTTTTTTGCGGAACCGGGGATTGAACTCAGGCCCTTAAGTGCTTATTCTATTGAGCCATCTCCCCGGCCCCACTAGCGTATTATTTAAATAATAATATTTTAGTAAGAACAAGTAATCTGATTAAAGAAAACTAAACCACATCTATGAAAGCCAAGTCATATTAGAATATTGCTTAATAAACACATCCATTAGAAAAACAATCTTCACTTCTAAGCACTGAGTTATAAAGTCTTTATTCTGTTTATATTAATTATCAATTTAAAATTCTGAAGATTTCAAAACTGGAAGAAAGCAACCAACTTAGAAAAGCACATACTGAAATAAAACGAGAACATCCTGCCTACATATTTGCCTCCGACACTAAAACATTTTCCTCAGCACTTGCTAAAACTTGATATCTCTGTTACACTGCCTAAAGTTTTACTAGATTAATTTGAGTTGTAACATTTTTTAAAATGTATAAACCTATAACAAGTAATGGGGCAGATATTTCAAACCTTAGAGTGAATCAGTATAATTACTTCCTACTAATACTTTGGTAAGATAACGAGAATGAAAAAATCCAAATTTAGGGGTAGGTAGGCATAATTTCACAATACTGCATGCTCTGAGGGGCTAGGTAAACCACTGATCTTTCTGCTCCCCCAAGTGAGACTACGAAGAGCTTGAGGGGAAAGAAAGAAACTACTACTACTTCAGAATTTCACATAGTACCTGGCTTATGTCATAGACATAAAAGAGAAACTTACACATCTATCCTGTATTCATCCTTTTCATTAAATTCCTCCCTCTTCTCATCAATGCCTAATTTCTTAATAAACAGTAAAAGACTTAAAGTGTAGCCTTCAAAAACATGACATATCACAGAAATTTTCTATTTCTTGTTTTTTTCACACAGTCTTTAAAGCAACAAGCTTTTATTCATAGCTCGATTATCGTATTCAGGAGTGTTATTGAATCAATACTGATCCACATCACTATATCCATAAATTCCTATAGGTCTAAGAACACAGATGAGAAACCATCTTACCAAGTAAGACTGCTCGAACAATTACAAATGAAATCTTCAGGTCACACTTCTGTACAACAAATGCCTTGAAAACTTTTCAATTGAACAGAGTATTAATTTCAGCCTTGGGGGACATTTCTGAGGACTGAACCCCAGGCTCCATGCACGCTAGGCAAGCTTCTCCACAGAGCTACAACCCCGGCCTTTTTTTATTGCTTTATTTTATTTTATTATTTTTTTTTAAATT